ACATACATACATACATACTTTCATACATATGTAAGTACATTCGTACATCCCTACATACAGTATTACATACATACAGACATACATACATACATACATGCATACAGACAGCCAGACAGACGCACACACATACATCCGGACATACATACATACATACATACATACATACATACATACAGCCAGACAAACAGAGAGACAGACAGACAGACAGACAGACAGACCGACGGACGGACCGACGGACGGACGGACGGACGGCCGGACGGTGCGTGCGTCGTGCGTGCATGCATGCATGCATGCATGACGGACTGCTGCACTGGACGAATACATAGCTAATGTACATACACATGCGTACATGAATGCGTGCATGCCTTCTTGCCTACCTACTTATTCAATCTTATTCACCGTCTGGCTGAGCCTTTCAATCGGTGCATCGTACGTCTTTGCTCCTAGTGTCTTGTTTGCCTATAGCCACAACTTCCATGCCAATATCCCGAAACCCTGAACCCTAAACCGATATAGTCGAAGAGCTGTCTACACAACCAGGTTGTGGCTCCAAACCCTAAGCTAAGCCCGAACCCAGAGACGCATCACTCAGAGGATCGGAAGAGCTCCGTCAGACCGGTAGATTGCATAAACAATCGCAGCTTTGTGGTTTAGGGTTTAGTGCCCAGGTACTCAAACGGCACATATTTAAGCCTCGAAAGGTACCAACCAGGAAGTCGTTCGGTATAGAAGATTGTATTCTTGGACCCTTGGGTTAGTTAGTTTCTTGACCCTGTCTGTGAAGTCCCCGGTCTTAGAACTACCTGATTGTAAGCCGAAGCGGACCATGTCACCTTTGACAGGGACAGCAGTGTACGATTGATCCTTTCAGGTTTGTTCTGAGGAAGTTCCTACATAAATTACCCTAAGGCTCAAATTTGACTTGGTGCAAGCGGAGCACAGAACCTCCTCGATGATTTTTGCCCTCGGGGTCATGGCTGCTTTGAAGGCGGATTTGCCACCCAGGTGAGGGTAGGCTCGGTAGTCCTTCAATTCCACGGCTTAGGGTTCAGGGTTCGGGATTTAGGGTTTAGGGTTCAGGGTTTGGGGTTCACGTATTGGGGTCAGAGGTTAGCTGCTGTAGCGTTTTGAGAGCCTTGACTATTCAGGTTGTGTAAGTAATCACTCGGCAAGTGGCTTAAAGTCTTGGGCGGGAAAGTGTGGACCGATGCCGGGGCTCTGAATCAAAAGTATATAGTAATGCAACCCTTGCGATCCCTCTTTACCTATATACATATATATATATATATATGTACACCTCAAGTGTTGTTCTGTTCCTAAATTTGAGCTCTATCGCCTAGGGTTGACCAGCCAAGATACCCTAAACCCTAAACCCTTAACCCTAAACCTTAAGCCCTTAACCCAAAGCCTTAAAACATGGCCCAAAGGCGGATCGACTCTTTCTCTGCTCTTAGACTCAATTTTCAGGCATTACGGGCTTTAGCGATGGCGCAATGGGTTTAGGGGTTTTCCTAGACCCTAAATTAAACATACACCCCAAACCAACGACCCCCTACAGCCCTAAACCCTAAACCCCTAAAGCCACAAAACCTAGCATTTTGGAACTCGAGGGGTGTTAGGCCTTCAGATGCAGAGCAAGACCCGCAGAAGCTCGACAGACAGAGTTTAGGGTTTGGGGTTTAGGGTTTAGGGCCGTGAATAATGAGAATGGCTGTTGGGGGGGGGATATAGTTTACTGTAGTCATAATCAGGAGCTTCCAAATGGTACTGGAATTGTTTAGGCGCTATAGTAGGGAGCCACAAAATGGGAAGAAATCTTGATTCCTGCTTTTCTGTGCAGGCCGTGAGGAGTACGAACAACAAGTATCATTGGCTCAGCTGTCTGATACAGCCGTTTCTGCATGGTATTGCAGATATAATATACTCTGTTTAGGGTTTAGGGCTTAGGGTTTTGGATGTTTTACACGCCCTGGGAAGAGGGTCTTAACTTAAGAACTGAACATTAAAGATAAGTCTTCTTTGTGCTCCCCACCTTGTGAATACCATCCAAGCAGCGTGCTGAAGCAGAAGCTCGCAGTATCGGCAGGGTTTAGGATGCGGGCCAAGACTCTATAACTTAGGGTTTAGGGAGTTTAGGGTTTGGGGTTTGGGGTTTAGGAAGGTTGCGCTGACAAGGCATGCAAGCTGCAATGCCCCACACCCCCGGACCCTGAGCCCCGAAACCGACATGCTAATCCCTAACCCCCCAGGTACCTACTATATAGGGTAATGGAGCCCCTAGGGCCCTATATAATTAGTAGGTACCTGGAGGGTTTGGGAATGTTGCTCTTTTGAGTAAGCGCTGAGCGTCGCCCCCAGGGTTTGTGGCAAAGCTGCACGGCGGATGCAAGCTGTACCATACACCTGGAGGCTCTGAGTATGTATAAGTTGGGTTTAGGGTTTAAGGTTTAGGGGTTTAGGGTTTAGGGGTTTAGGGGTTTAGGGTTTAGGGGTTTAGGGTCTTATGATGTATAAGTTGTAAATGTGGATCCTGCCATGTACGGTTTTAATGTGCTCCATCGAGGTTCTAAAACGGGCGGGTGTTGGAACTGGGGAACCCATCTAGTGGGTTGAAGTCCGCCTACTTGGGTGCTTCCCGGGTTTAGGGTCTAGGGTTTAGGGTTTAGGGATGATGTATTTGGCCTCGGGCTTCTAAGCGTGGCCAAACTAAGTAGTGATATCCATCACGGGAACCCTACACGTACCGAGAGTGCCCCTTTCCTGTAAGGGTTCTATATCAAAGCGTCCATGTACCCAAATAGCATATACTTTGGCCTGGAATCCTTACAATGTAAGCCTAAACCCTAAACCCTAAACCTTACATAGGGAGTACTTTCAAGTTTCAAGGCTGTAGAGTATGACCATGAGGAAACATGGATCAGGCCCCCTGGGCCATAAGCTGCCCTGTCGCATCTCATCGCTGTAGGATTGCTACTACCTGCACCAATATCGTCTGTTTGGGGTGTCCATACCTAGGGGCTCCAATGTAGTTCCTTTGGGGGTCTGTTATGGTTTTTTGGTAAGGAGTTATAGTATAATATCCAAAAAGGAACTACATAGGAGCCCTTGGGTATATAACCTTACTTTTCGGTATCTATTTGGTGCTCAGGAGCTGAAGCTGAAACGGAACGTGAAGCGACGGTCCAAGGATTCCGTGAATCCTGACAGTATGCAACGCCCAAACCCTACGGAGCACATCTCTTCATGGCTAAGGCTGCTGCCCCGGCCACAGACTGCATAAGGTCGATTTCCCAAAAAACTTAAAGCCTACACCAGGAACCCTGGCTCCTAAATACCAAACTTCCAACTCCACACCCTGAGACCCCAAACCCCAAACCCTCTAAACCCTAAACTCCTAAAGCCCTAAACCCTGTAAAACCCTGAACCCCCAAACCCTAAACCTCTAAACCCTAAACCCCTCAACCCTAAATCCGAAACCTTAAAGCCCAAAGCCTCTAAACCCTAAACCCCTACAGCCTACTAAACCTCCAAACCCCTAAACCCTGAGGCCTTCTTGTGGCAGAGCTGAAGGGTCCGGATTGGTACTTGGCGCTGGGAGGAGCTGACCAACTGGCCTGGGCGAGCAGGTATAGTGTTAAGGGTTTAGGCTTTACCCCCACGACGCTGAACCCTAAGCCCTAAACCCTAAATCCTAGACCCGGAACTATACCTCGTGCAGCGCTTTAGGGATCGGGCTTTTGGAGCTCGCAGTCGGATCTTTGTAATTACTCTTGTCCACCGCGATCTAACGGCAAGTTTTCGAGCCGAAGTAATACTCGAGATTTGAAAGTCCAAAGACGGAACCCATGTTCACATATACACACACACACACGCACATGCGCGCACGTATGCCTGCGTGTGTTTGTTTGTGTGTGTGTGCACGTGTGTATACATATATATATATATATACACATACACAAATACATATATTGTACATGAGCATGTGTATATACATACAGTACGACATTTGATGTAGACGCACACATAAACAGACATACAGGCTATGTTTACATTCCAACCGTCCTCAAACACTACTACATGGTTATATTAAATTACACAAAGCACCGCAACGCAGAGAGAGAGAGAGAGGGAGCGAGAGCGAGAGAGCAAGATACAGAGATAGACAGATGGATGGATGCATGGATGTATGGATGCATGGATAAATGGATGCATGGATGGATCGATGGATGGATGGATGGTTAGACGAATGGACGGACAGAAAGTTACATACATGCATACATACATACAAAAATACATACA